AATAATAACGTTTTCTAAAATTGCGGACACTTTATCTCTGAATCTACTGAACCGACTTTAATAAATCATAGGTCGTTTTGTTTGTTAGCATGTCATGTGTGTGAATTCACCAGAAAATAGTCAAAAAATTAAAAAAAAACTTTTTTGCAGACTAGAAAAATAGTGAAAAACATGGTGTACACTGGAATCTAGATCGGTGAGCTCGGTATCGTTGAGACTCTGTTTACATAGTTTGTAGGCGAGGAAAGGTGGAGGGCTAGCGGGGACTTTCAAATGTCGATCAATGCCGTGCCTAATTGTAGAAGAAAAAGGTTCTCAGTGCCCGATGCTATTTATTTTATTTGATAACTTCATCATTATTTACTTTTTTTTCTTTTTAATATAAATATATTATACATTTTATTTTTGTATAATATTTTATAATATTTTGTGATTTATATTAATTTTCTAACATGAATTATTTTTTAAAAGAATCCCCGATTAGTCTCACCGATCTAGATTCCAGTGTATTTAGAAAAAACTTATTGAAACATCTGCTATTTTTTTATTTTAGTCATTATTTTATTTTTCATTAATGGTGGTGGATTTCTATGCAAGACACCTTCTTTTTTAAAAAGCAGTTTGGATTTTTGGTTTCCGATTTGTCAATCTTGAGATAAACTGTCCGCCATTGGACAATTAACTTTTTGGAGATTCGAATTTAATGCTATCTGCAGATTATGGTATTAAATAAAAATTAAAAACAAACAAACAATTTTTAGAGTTGAATATGATTCATATTCGACCAATCCTTTCCTAAAAAAGAAAGTTCGAGAAAAATCGAAGAACTAGCTCGAAACTCTATTTCTATTGAAACTCGAATTCTCTCGAAACTTTAGAGATATATCGATATTACGTCATCACAGAACTTTCTTAAAAAAGACTACGCACGCGTGAAATGCAGGATGACGTCAAACCAAGATAGAAAGATGGCCACTGTTTGTTTTCTTTTGGAATCTTATTTTATTTTCGGCAAATAATTGTTTTTTATTATTATAATATAAATAAAAGTATATTAAATGTTTTTTAATTTTGTAATTTTTGGGCTGCGTCTACAATGGAAAAATAATGTGTTGAATGTGTTATGTTGTAGTATTTCTGGTTAGTGCTAAATGTACGAGGTATGCACTTTGTAAACAAATGTAACCTCACTAACTTAGTTACTTAATCGGAACAAAACAAATTTCTGTTGTTGTTGTGACCGACTAAAAATATAACAAAATAACTATATATATTATACGTATAAATAATAAATAAACATTTATTTGCTGAAGAATGAGTAAAAATTAAAAAAAAAACGTAGGGTAATAGTTTTTTTATTATTGTTTATAAACCAGTTTTCGTTCGAAGTGATATTTTAATGTTTTATTATTTTTGAACAAATATAATAATTTTTGAATTTTGACACAAACATTTTGTTTTAAAATTTATTTAAACAAATGAAATTTGTTGTTTTTACATTTTTTTATCACAACAAAATCAGAATATAAAGGTAGGAATAACATGAAAAAGCAAATTACGTGTTAAAATTTTAAAGAATAATTACGTGTTAAATGGAAAGTGGAAGCAACGTAGTCGACCGCGTAGCGGTCGACGGAGGCGCTAGTGTCTATAAAAGAATAAATACTAATATATCTCTAATGCAATTTTACAACGATTAAGGAAATTATGGAATATGTTTTTAAAAAATTGCTTTTATTTCAATTTTTATAGATACATTTATACACTGAAAAAAAAGTATTGAACCAAGAAAATTTTTCTTGGTTGAAGCAAATCGTGGGATTGAATACGGCCAATTCTTGATCCAAGAAAATATGGAATTCGACCAAGAAGTTAATCTTCTTATACGAAATATAAAATGTATTAAATGAATAAAATATTTTCTTGTTCTAAGAATATATATAGATGATTGAATTATTTTATTCGATTCATTCAATTTTTTGTAACGTTCGTTCAAGTAATTCAAGATTTAAATGAAGAAAACATTTATTTTGTGAGAAGAACAGATATTCTTGATCCAAGAAAATATGCACTCAGAGAAACAGTTTATTTCACTTAACCAAACTGTTTAATTAACCTATTTTATTTGTCACGATAGAACAATTTTGTTGATTTAAATAAAAATTTGGTTCATTTTAATAAATAAGTAAAATTTGTTTGATTATTGGAAAGAAATTTTTTATTTGAAGTTGTTTGTTTCATTTAACCAAATTTGTGTTTTGAATAGAGAATATTGTTTAGTTAAATACAATTTGTTCGACACAACACACAAATTTGTTTGATTTAACCAAATCATTTTATTTGAGTCAAACAAAAATATTTGCTTCTCTCAAAAAGTACATGTGTGAATTTAAAAATGGCGATCTCACTTGTCTACAGTCCGCGTTCGCGTCAAATTTATTAGTTAAATCGGTAAATCAAAGAAACAAAAAATTATAAGTGTCGGTTAGTTAGTTTATTTTGTTTATATATGAAGAAATATACAATATTTTACTTAATTGTTATTTATTTTCCTCTAATAATGTTTGAGTTTTCTAATTTAATATTTTCAAGTATATACATATTATTGGTTAATTTATGATTTATTATATGTAAAATTTTAAAATATCAATAATTATATAATAAATTATAAATTAACCAATAATATGTACTAGAAAATATTAAATTAGGAAATTCAAATATTATTAGAGGAAAATAAATAACAAAATTAAGTAAACAAAAATATTTATTTAAAGGAACCAAATGCGTTTACTAAAACTATTTATTTGAATCAAACAAATCTTTTCTCTTAAAATAAACAAATTTTTTAGTTATATTAAATAAAAATTTTTGGTTAAGTGTAATAACCATTTGGTTAATACAAATAAACGTATTGGAAGAAATTATTTGGATGAATCAAACAAACGTTTGGTTGACTGTATAGCAATGCATTTATTTGGTTGATTCAACCAAAATTTTGTTGTTTCGAACAAATTTTTTTCTGAGTGTGTAATTCGACCAAGAAGTTAATCGACTTGTACGAAATATAAAATGTATTAAATGAATAAAATATTTTCTTGTTCTACACGGAAAGAAAAAGTCCGTCAACCATTAATGGATTAGTATATTACTTTGAGACGGGACTCTTTTTCCGTTGATGGTTACTTAACTTTACTTAACGATTGAAAACGAGTCATGGATTGATTAGAATGCCAGTATGTGACCAATTGTTTTAGATTTAATGCTGAATTGTTATCAATGGCTGTTTGAATGTTTACGAATCATTAGTGAAAGTTTGTGAAACGTTAGTTGACTCGTATTCCGGTTTCTCTATAGTCCATGTGTTTTTGCTGTCTGCTATACATATCCCTATATACTATTATGTGTAATGTGAATATTTAACTTAACTAATAATTTGCAGTTGAATTGCGTCTAGAAATTGACCTCGATAAAAATATATTTTCTTTTATATTTCTCGCTAATTAAAAAGTAGTTATTAGTGCAAAATCATTTCTCACAAGTTGTGAAAAATTTTGTTATTTGGTACACTGAGAGAAGTCCGGGAACTAATACGTCCCGTGCGAGCCTTACTGCGAGATTACGTCTCGGTCTTCTCTCAGTGTATATAAGAACAGTTCGCTTCTAAACTTAAAGTGTTATAAGTGTGCGTTTCTATACGTGTAGTTATTATAAGTGCGAAAATGTGTTGGTCTAAAGCGTCTAAGAGTGTAAATAAAATATCGGAACTGTGCAACGAAAAAAATGTGTTCATTCTGTACCAAATAGTGTCTAAAATTAGGGATAATTCTGAAAGAAGTTGAATTTTTTGAATGCTTTTGATAGTCATAGAAAATTTAATAGACAGTTTTCTAAATTTTAGTGAACGAGTTTTATATATTGATGACAGTTTTCTAAATTTTAGCAAGCAACTCGTCACTGATTGTGACTCAAAGTAATATGTTATCCATTCAATGATTTTGTGTCCCGTCTCAAAGTAATATACTAGTCTATTAATGATTGACGGACTTTTTCTTTCCGTGTAAGAATATATATATAGAGAATTGAATTATTTTACTTGATTCATTCAATTTTTTGTAACATTCGTTCAAGTAATTCAAGATTTAAATAAAGAACACTGAGAAAACTGGAGTATTGGACTAAACATCTGGAGGGACAAATCGTTCATATTTGAGAGTTAGCTATTGGATAACAATCTAAATGTTCAAATACACCATTGACAGATATTCGTGCCATTTCTCTAACAGAGGGACAAATTAACCATCTTGAGAAATCCCTTCCTTATCCGGCGCGAAATGAATAAATATGGCAACCTAACCCCTAAATTAAATACATAAAATGTCAGAAAAATAATTTCGCGCGCAACAGATCGTACACATTTTCTGCGCAACTTTTAACCCTCAGATATTATGGGAGAGAATATACAAGTAGATTTCCATTATCAATTTAAAATTTATTTTAGAAGGACTATTTAACTCTCTTCATAAGCAAAGGAAACATACACTTTTTGAACCTCTGAATTTGACTCTCCAGTTTTCTCAGTGAAAACATTTATTTTGTGAGAGAACGCAGATATTCTTGATCCAAGAAAATACGGAATTCGATCAAGAAATTAAGTAGCATGTAAGAAATGCAGAATATATTAATTCAAAATCATTTATGTATCAAATCAAGAAAGTATGTTCTCTGTCCGAGAAAATTTTTTCTTGATTTGAGAAAATTTATAGATTTCAATCAAAAAAATACTTTCTCAATACAAGTAAATTATTTACTTAAAATACCCCCCCCCCTCCCCTAACCTCCATCCCATCTTTTCTAATACTTAGGTCAAACATTTTTATTATTTAATTAATTAACATTTATATTTTTTATTTAAATAATTAAATAATTGTTATTTTACATATATATTTACATTTAATTATTACTTAACACAAATACAACAAATATACCTTGAAAGAAAATTTTCCACGGTCGGAGGAATTGAACCCGGGTTGCACGCACCAGAAGCCGTCACGCTACCACTATGCCGGTAGGGGGACAGTTTTCCCAATCCACTTTTCCCAACGACTTTTTTCCCAATGAACATTTTTCCCAACGAACAAATTTCCCAATGGTCATTTTTCCCAAAATTTTTTTCCCAACGGACATTTTTCCCAATGAAAATAAAATTTAAATTTTTAATCACAATGAACAATTGCAATCGTTGTCAAGACTAACTTCATTGTTGTATATGATAAAAAAGTCATTTGTTAATCATAACCGTTAGAGTAAACTTGTATCAAAGTTATAAGTGAAAAAATTCAAATTTTTATTATGGCTGAAGCAAATTTACAAGTAATTTATACCAATAGAAGTGTCAGGCTTAGTATTTCCGGATTTTTGTATTGCAAACATTCATCAAATTCTAAACTCGGTCGAATATATTGGAACTGCAAACAGAAAGGCGAATGTCACGCACGAGCAACCACATCTAGTGACTTAGAAAATTTATCACTTTTCAAAGGGCCTAAAGAATCTCCTCATGAACATGCTCCGAACCGAGACGCTGTCGACGCTGAGCGAATAGTGGCTAGGGTTAAAAGAGTAGCTGAAGAACATCCGGAGTTACTTCCAGCACAAATTATACGTAGAGAGCTGCAAAATGTCCCATCAGGTAGAAAATAGCACTAATGCTTAAATATTAAAATCATTAAATTATTAAATTTATTTGAGTAATTCAGTAATTAACTATAACTATATTTAATATAGGAATCCTGTCAGAGATGCCGGAACGGCCAAATCTCCGAAAACAAATTTCTCGTACTCGCTTACGGCATATGCCCAGTAACCCTATTCGTATCTCGGATTTGGAAGAAATTCCCGAACATTATAGGCAAACTCTCGGTGGAAATAACTTTCTTTTATACGATTCTTATCACGATGATGAAGAGGAAGAAGATGTAACTCAAGTTGGTGTAAATCGAAAACCGCAGACTGTTGGATTGCCTTTTGTTCATGCTCTTTTAGAAAATAAACGGCAATCTTCGTATTTGAAAGTTTTGAATATAGTTTTAAAGGAGGGCAGAAAACTTATACGCCAAAATTTGAAGTTGCCAATATATATTATGACTGATTTCGAAGTTGGTATAATAAACGCTGCTAAGGAAGTTCTCGGTGATGATGAGGATGATAGAGTAAACTGCTGTTTTTTCCATTTGAGTCAAAATGTCTTTCGGCGCATTCAGGCAGAAGGGCTCCAAGAATTATACGAGGAAGAGGACGAGGAGCTCGTTTGCGGTTCCAATACTGCTCACCAACTTATCCACCTCGATTATGGAACCAGTATAATTCTGTTTTGGAAGGAACGGCTAGAACAAATAATTTATCAGAGGGGTGGCACAATCGCTTCCAATTAGTAGTTGGCAAGCATCACCCAAGTCTGTTTGTTCTTTTCGATGAGTTGCGAAAAGAACAAGCAGACACGGAAATTATGCTGCGCCAACTACAAATTGGGCAGCGAATAAGAAAAGGATTAGACAAGCGAAGAAGAGAAACAGAAGAGAAAATTTTGAATATTGTCGAACAGTATAGCGAATACGCACAGCGCGAAAACATATTTCGATACTTAAAAACAATAGGTCACTACATTAAATTTTAAATCAATTAAGACATTATTTTCTTAATTCATCAACACTAAAAACAGAACATCTACACTTTTTTATTTGTTAATAAATAATTTTGGTAATAAAATTTATTGTTGGGAAAAATTGTCATTGGGAAAAACGTCCATTGGGAAAAACGACCCATTTTTGGGAAATTTGTTCATTGGGAAAAATGTCCATTGGGAAAAGAGACGTTGAGAAACGCGGATTGGAAAAACTGTCTACCAATCCACTATTCCATCCTAGCCTCAATGGACAGTTTTCAAAAACTGATATTTAAGTTGCATATACATTTGAAGAAAAATATTTTCTTGGATCAAGAACACCGGCATTGTGTTAAGTAAAAAAAAGTTTCAAAGCAAATAAATAAAATGATTTGATTCAAGAAACATGAATTCTCTAGACAATACTTTATTATTTCGCTTAAGAACATGATATTCTAGATTCAATACTTTTTGGTACTTCGGAAAAGTAAAATATTTGCTTGAAATAATTACATATTTAGTTCCGCCAAATACTAAATTGTTAATTCAAGAATTCTGTTCAATGCTAATAATTACTTGACACAAGAAAATGAATTTCTTTCTTCAAATAAATATGGGATTAATTGAATATAATTTTTAATCAACTTGAAACAAATATTTACTTATATTAACCTTCGTATTTTCTTGAATCAGGATTATATGAGCGTTGAATTAAGTAAAAACTTTTTTAAAGGAAACAAAAGAATGATTTAATTCAAGATCTTACACTTAATTGAATTGAATAAATAAAATATTTCATTCCAGAAAATATAATATTCTCGCAAGAAATTAATGATTTTGAAACATGAGAATATAGAAATGCTTCAAGTAAAAGAAATGCTTAGATTAATTAATATTTCTTTGAAACAAAATAATTTTTAATTGAGTTGAAACAATTATTAACTTGTATTAATCTTTCCGTTTTCTTGGCTCAAGACTATGGGTGTTGGATGAAATAAATAGTTGCTTTAAAGGAAATAAAAAAATTATTTGACTCAAGATACCAAATGACTCAAGGTAAATTACTTGACGTGAGAACATGATATTCTTGATTCAATACTTTTTCGAGACGGGGGCATTGGGGTGTCTTATAGGATCATGCAAGGCTTTTAATAATATTTCTACACTAATTACCCTGTATGACTCTCTAGTGCTTTCGAAAATGAACTACGCTCTATTTCTTTCTAATCCTTATTATGATAAGTATAATGATGAATTGGAAAAAGTTCAAAAAAGATTTTTAAAGTACCTAGCTTTTAAAACTGACGGTATTTACCCTCCACGAGGGTGTGACTATGATGCTCTTTGTCGTCGTTTCAATTTTTTAACTTTATCACAGAGAAGAATCTATTTTGCAACATTATTTTTTTATAAGATTCTATCATCTCAAATTTAAGCTCCACAACTTTTGCGCCAAATTCCATTTAGAATACCCAGAATTAATTCACGTAAATCTGAACCTTTTTATTTGACTCCTCCACAAAGTATAATTGGTGAAATTGCTCCTATTTATTTTTCATGTAAACATATTAACAACATGTACTCTACGTTAAAGCCAAATCTCGATTTGTTTTGTTCCTCTGAGAAGGAGTTTAAAATAATACTTAAAAAATATTTACACACTTTGTTGTAATAATGTACTTAGAAGTGATAGATTTGATTAATTTGATTTGATTTGGTTTGATTGATGGTGTGAAGCAGTACTTGCGCACAAATTATAAATATGATTGTTACTTTTTATATTTTTTTTTTTATTTTAGTTTTCGTTACCCATGTATGGTCCAATTGGACTGCGGGATATTTTCATAAATAAATAAATAAATAAATAAATAAATAAATAAATAAATAAATAAATATGGATGCAGCAACCTTAACTATGGATATCCCGTATTTTTCAATATAATATGGCTGTGATATCCATGTATCTGGATGTGTCAACTATTCCTTTTTCTCCGTGTGGGTGTTAGATTAAGTAAAATCTTGTTTTAAAGGAATCAAAAAAATGATTTAGTTCAAGATCTTACACTTAATTGAATTGAATAAATAAAATATTTCATTCCAGAAAATATAACATTCTCGCAAGAAATTAATGATTTTGAAACATGAGAATATAGAAATGCTTCAAGTAAAACAAATGCTTAGATTAATTAACATTTCTTTGAAACAAAATAATTTTTAATTGAGTTGAAACAATTATTAACTTGTATTAATCTTCCCATTTTCTTGGCTCTAGACTATGGGTGTTGGATGAAATAAATAGTTGCTTTAAAGGAAATAAAAAAATGATTTGACTCAAGATACCAAATGACTCAAGGTAAATTACTTGACGTGAGAACATGATATTCTTGATTCAATACTTTTTCGAGACTTGGCGCATGTAAAACAGTTCGTTTGAAACAGTAAAGTAGATATACATGGAGAGTTCTAACCCACTAAAATTGAACTGCGCATGCGCATACCTTAGTTTTGGCGCGAAAATTTAAATTTTGAATCTAAGTATATTTGGATATGTGTGAACATGATCATTTGGTATGAGATTTTTGATGCACTTTGATCAGCATGTGATAAGAGGTAAGTATTGTGATGCTAAGGCGGATATCACATCACAAGGGGGGGTAATATTCAGACCATGATTCTGAGGCGGATATGACATCATGGGTGAGGGTGCGATTCTGAGGCGGATATGATATCACGGGGAGGATACGATTCTGAGGCGGATATGGTATCACGGGGGGGGGGGGTCAGACCATGATTCTGAGGTGGATATGACATCACGGGGGGCACGATGCTGAGCCGGAAATGACGTCATACTTCCTAGAATTTTGACATGTGTAATTTGATATATTCTTATCTAAGGAATTTTTACCATCTACTTGTTGTTTATAATATCTTTGATTTATTGCTTCCGGTTTGTGATTTATCTAAAGAATTTTTCCCACGAGTAATTTGATACCTATTTATTTCCTGGAATTATAGTCTTTATTTAAGCTATTGTTTTACATGTAATTTGATATCTTTGATTTATTGCTTTCGGTCTGTTTTATTATACAGTTCATTTATTTTGTTTTGACTAAGTTTTATCTAAGGAATTTTTACAAACATTTTCGGTACTTTTCATAAGAATGCTTTTGATCTTACCGCAATTCCACGAAATCTATAATTAACTTCAAGGTCAAATAGGTCATATCTTGTGTATATAAAGAGAGCAGTTTTTCTCAAATGTCAAATATTCAATGTGTAAATGGTAAATTATTGTAAAGAGAGGATAAATAAATACAAGAATGCATACAATTCAATTTATTTTTATTTCAACCTTCCTTAAATACATTATAATTCAGATTCGTTTATCCAACTGTTATGAGAGTTATCAAAACCTAACCATTTTACAAATACATTAGATCCTCGTTTTTTTAATACTTTTTCAACTAAATATACATCTGGATATTTAACTTTAGAAAGTTCTTGCTCGTAAAAACATCCACTTATTAGATTTTCCTGATAATCCTTCAAGATATATGTTATTGGATTAGTATTTTTTACATCGCTTATAGTAAATATTTCCGTAGTCCAATTTGGCGTATAACCTTTTTCAAAAACATGCTTAACTTTACTTATACGTACTCTATCTCCAACTTTAAATTTCTTATTATATTTCCTGTTTACTGCAACTTTTTTAAATACATCAAACAACAAATTATTTTCATTTTGAGCATTTACATCTTTCGGTTTCATTCTTATTGTCCGATGTTTACTATTATTATACGCATTTACTAAATCACTTAGTATGTCTATCCATTTGTAATTACCGCGTAAACTGAATTGCATCCACATTTTATTCTTCAAAGTACGATTAAATCGCTCACAAATTGACGCTTTCAAATTACTATGAGTAGAATACAAGTTAATGTTATAACTTTTAATAAGATTTTCAAAATGTGAATTATAAAACTCTTTTCCTTTATCTACTTGCAAATTTTTTGGTATACGTTTTTAAATAAAATAGATTTCATTGCCGCAGTCACATCTTCACCTTTTTTGGACTTTACTGGAACAGCCCAAGCAAACTTTGAAAATGTATCAATGACGGTTAACAGGTACTTGTAACCTTTATTTTCTCTAGCATAAGGTTGCATTTCAACAAGATCAGCTTGCCAAGTCTCGTCAATACCTCGAATGTTAACATTTCTTCGCTTATAATTTTTTCTCGCTGGTTTATGTAACTCTTTCACCAACTGTAGTTTTTGATCCTCCATTGTTAATTACCTTCAAGTGTGCGCAGTCTGCTGTCTAATTGTAAAATAATCTCTTTGCTGGTAGACATCATCTCTATATTTCTTTCAATACTGATTCTTAGATTTTCAAAATATTTTTTTATCAAATCTTCTATCTCTGCAATCTTTACAACATTGTCATTTATATCATTTCTCACAGAACCGATTACATCATAGATGGCGTTCGTTTTAGATTCAATAACTTTGTTTACAGTATTCAAGTTTACTGCATCACTGTTGCTCTCAGCATCAGCTACGTTACAAAGTTTCTTATTTTCAATATTAAAATCTCCTTCACCAGTCAATTTAAAACCAAGTCCTGGTGGACCTCGATTTGAAGTTTCTGTGCTTTTAAACTGACGTCCGAATATGTCGATACTCATCATGAAAATGATAAAAATTTCTACAACTGTTAATTAATAAACAATTCCAGCTTCTCTCAACTCTTCAATAATTGATATAATCTCATTATTATGACTGGGATTTCCAGCTGCTTGAGATGCCAAGAGCAATCTTAAACGATTAACCAATTCATTAGGATCATCCCAATAAACATAATCAATTTTTGCATCTTCTTGTTGAGTCATATATTCTGGAATTAAACCTTCACCAGAATGTACTGCTATATAGTTTAGATATTTTAAACTCTTTTTATCTCTAACAGCGCCATCTGCTTTGTAATATTTTTTATGAGCATTAGTTGATATTACAATATTTTTATAATTTTCCCGATCAACTACACTTAAAACAGCTTCTTCTGGAACTTTTTTGAATAAAAGCTCAAGTAAACCTTTCGTTGCAGGATATGTTTTATTACCTACACTAATATTATTTTGTTCAAAATTTATTCCTGAATTACCAATCATTAATTGCCCTTTAGATAATTTACAAACTCCATATGAAGGATCTAAATCTTTTCCCTTTTCATCCAACATTTGAAGATATAAAATAGCACCATCTTTCTCTGATTTATCTCCATCTCCATTATCATCTCCATCATCATCATCATAATCATCACC